GGGGCTGCCCCACCTGGGGGGCTCAGGGGCCACCCTGCCGGGGGGGTTCAGGGGGGCTTGGGGCCACCCTTGCCCATGTGACTGTGCCTCTTATTTGGAGCCGGGGGGGTGCAGGGGGCCTTGGGGCCACCCTTGCCCATGTGACTGTGCCTCTTATTTGGAGATTTTTTTTTTTAATGTTGTGTTTTAAAACGTTAATTTGTGCTGGTTTGGAAAATACTAAAGATAACAAAGAAATTGTACACGACCGCAGCACCTGACCAAAACCACTGTGTGTGATGTTTCCTGCTACAGTCTTTACTGTCTGTGTACAGAGTGACAGCGGTCTCTTGGAATTTCTTATACATGTAATTCATATTACTCTTTTAAGAGATAGAAGTAGAATCTGCTCAGAGCCCCTCAGTGGCCCAGACCCAGTGGCTCCTGCTCTTGGGCCAGCCCCAGGAAAGGCTGGCTGCTTTGCTGTCTCTCAGGTTTGGGCCACATGGTCACTCCTCGCCTTCATACCAGAAGGCCTTCAGCCCTGGCCTGATCTGTAAAAGCGGGGTGATGGGGAAGCCACGAGGACCCGGCAGCTCACAGAAACTGCCGGTCACGTCCGTGTCCGTAGTCCCTCTCGGGTGCCTTGGGGCTGTTCATCTGAGGCAGGAGGATGCCCCACCTCTAGCGGTGTGGTCTGCTCCTGCTGTTGGTGCCCAGGCTCTAATCCCTGCGGTCCCCCCCCCCAGGAAGAGCATGAAGCAGAGCGCTCCCGCGGGCGTGCACACCTTCTGTGATCGGCAGAGGCCTCTCCCGGACGGCGCAGCGCAGTATTACGTGGCAGGTCGGGCTCACCCAGCTCTGGCCCCAGACTCGGCAGGCACTGACCCAGGCGTGCGGGGGAAGGTGCTGCGTGGCCAGCAGCAGGCCTGTGTTCTCTGCAGTGCTCCCCAGAGAGAGCACAAGGCCCCAAGGGGAGGGTGGTTACCCCACAGTCCGTTTTCCCCCATGTTTCCATGCCACCAGGGTCCCGGGCACACACACCTGGCATGTTGTGCCAGTTTTCACCTGTGCTGGGCCACGTGGGCTCTGGCTCCCAGGGCACGGCACCTCCCCACACCCCGAGGCTGGCTCGAGAGCAAGGCCTCTCTGGCCACCCAGGCCCAGGGCAGCCCTGACCATCGACAGCACCTGGCTTCAGCTGTGCAGGCCATCTCAGTACGTGTCTGCGAGACGGCCAGGCTCAGGAAACGTCCACCTGCCACGGACGTGGGGCTCACCCATGTCGCCGCTTTCACAGCCAAGCCAGCCGTTCTTGTTTTCAGTACAGCCAATGTCACAGTCCTACCCCTTCGCTCACGAGTCACTGGGTGGTTTCCCTGCAGGTCACCTGCCAGTGAAGCTGCCAGACTACAACAACCGTCTGAGAGTCCTGGTTGCCACCTACGTGACCTTCAGCCCTAATGGCACAGAACTGCTGGTCAACATGGGAGGGGAGCAGGTATGTGCAGCCAGGGTTGTGCCCTACACCCCTGACCTGAGCACCCTCACCGCAGCCCACCTCGCAGTGAGGTCTGGAGTGACACAGCGTCAGCAGAGTTCGTGGAAGGTCTTAGCCCAGTCAGGTCTTCTTTTTCTTTCTTTTTTTCTTTAATGAGTTAGATCAGATGAAGTCAGATAGAGTTTTAGTTCAGAACGTGGGCAACTTAGGACTGGCAGGCTGACCCGCTGGTGGGGCCTGATTACAAGTGTGAACAGGTCTCTTAGTTTCTGAGCTTCAGTTTCCCCTCTGCTGTTTCCCACGGGGAATCCCTGGGCTAAGAGTGCGGAGCCACTGTGGTTAGGGACAGCTTTGGAAAGTGTCCCTCGGTGACAGCATCCTGCTCAGCCTCCTGTCGAGTGCCAGAGTATTAGAGTGTGTGAGTCAGCTCATTGACTCTGCAAACGCCAGGTGCGTGCTCTGGGGCGGCCTGGCTGTGAATGTAAAGAAGATGCGCACACACAGTGAGGGCCCCCCAGAAAGCTCACAACAGATATGTATTAGGATTAGCATAAAAACTATACGGGGCCAGGAGGTGGAATAGTACGTAAGATGCTGGACTCCCACGTGGCTGACCACAGTTCAGTTCCCAGACCTGGTGGCTTGAGACTCATGCAGGGTGTGTGTGCATGTGTTTCCAAGATCCCAAGAGGAGATTAGAGGAGAGGGGATTGTGATGCGGCCATCCTCCAGGGAGTGATTTCTTACTTTCCCTCTTCCTGTCTCTCTCTGGTGAGTACAAGTCCCCTATGATAAAAAAAGAATAATTATTATTTTTAAAAGAAAAAAAACTGGGACCAGCAGTTAGCATAATGGCTATGTCGCTGGACTCCCATGTAGCCGACTGTGGTTCGCGTCCCGGACCCGGTGGCTTAAAACACAACAGGCGCATGTGCATGCGTGCCCAAGATCCCGAGAGGAGAATGGAGGAGAAGGGATTGTGGCATGGCCATCCCCCCTGGGGAGTGATTTCTCGCTTCCTGTCTCTCTGTCTCTCTCTGTCCGTCTGGCGAGCGCACATGCCCTATAGTAAAAACCTCTCAAAAAAAAAAAAAAAAAACTGCATGTATTTTAGAATTTTTTGCACCAGAATAAACTCATACTTTAATTCAATTGTTTATTTTTTTAGATTTTTTTGCCATAGAGCACATGAACTTGGCAGGGACAGAGAGAGAGAAATTGCCCCCCAGGGGGATGGCCACACCATAATCACTTTTCCTCTCTGGATTTCGGGGTGCGTGCACACACACCCAGTGTGCGTTTCAAGCCACCAGGTCCAGGGCTCAGAGCAGAGCCGGCCATGCAGGGTCCAGTACGTTACCCACCACGCCGTCCACTCACCCCCAGCTGTCCGTGAATTTTCAAGGCGCCCTGTGTGATCCATCTCCAGGCTACCAAAAGACACCGTGTGGGACATGGTCGATGACACGAGATTCGGAATGTGAGCCATACAGGAGGAGTGGGGTGGAGGACAGGCGACTGCCTAAGCTCAGAGTGGGGTTCTGGCTTCACGGAGCTGAGCCGTGACCTGGCCTGATGGTCACGTGAAGACAGGTGGGAGCAGCCTGGCAGAGGGTGGAGCCAGCCGGACCTGGCCCTGGGCCAGGCTGTGCCCACCTGCCCCTTTCATCACCCTGGAAAAGCTACCCCAGCTACACCAGCTCATATAGTACGGGTACCAACAGCAGTGCCTCTTCCTGCAGTGGTTTCTAAGCTGAAGTCAGTCATGCAAAACACACAGCAGTGTCCAGTAAGTGACCACAGGTGCTACTTACTGAGAAACGTGGCTCCTCGCTCTGCGGCTTCAGTTTTCCCATCTTTAAAATGAGACACTTGGGGGACCAGCAGATGGCATAATGGCTATGTCACTGGACTTCAATGTAGCCAACAGTTATTTGAGTCCCAGACCCAGTGCCTTAAACTCACCCTGGGGGTGTGTGTGGGTGCTTCCCCAAGATCCCAAGAGGAGAATGGAGGAGAAGGGATTGTGGCATGGTCATCCCCCCGGGGGGTGATTTCTCGTTTTCTGTCTCTCTCTTTCTGGCAAGTGCACGTGCCCTATAGCAAAAACCTCTCAAAAAAATAAAATAATAAAATAAATTAAATAAAATGAGACACTTGGCTTTTGACCTCAGAGGACCTTTCCGACTTACCTTTTCTTGTAAGTTTATTTATGGATTTCTTCCATGGGCAAAGAAATGTTCTTTTATTAATTGCCAGAAAGAGACAGCACCTCCCGGTGGGTGTGAAAGAAAGTACCTCCCGGTGGGGTGTGGTCACTCCATCTAGCCTTCCCATTGGGATTCGGAGCACACACACGCACATGCATGCAGCACAGTCCCAGCAGCCAGGGGTGGGATTAGAGCCATGGGCAGCGTGTGACTGGCTCCCTTAACTGCTGGGCTATGAGGCTGGCCAGTGGCCATTCTCAGGCAGGGTTCTGAGGGCCCAGAGCTCAGGGGTTGCCTTCCTGGTGTTCGCTTCCTGGAACCATCTGGGCTAGCTTGAAGGCTCCAGGCTAACACCACTGCGAATCACGACCCTGGTTCTCGAGAGCTGCCCCGAGCTGTGAGCGGTCAGGCTTTGGCCCCACTTCACAACCTCTGCCTCTCCCCGACTCCCCACCCTAGGTCTACCTGTTTGACCTGACTAACAAGCAGCGGCCGTACACCTTCCTCTTGCCCAGAAAGTGGCACTCCTCCGGGGGTAAGTGCTGGGCGTCTCACCGGGTGGGGGGTGGGGCGGGGCATGGGGTGGAGGGGCACTTCAGTGCACTCCTGCTGCTGGGAAGCCTGCTCTTACCAGGACTGTGGCAGGGCCCCTGTCGAAGCAAGCAGGACTCCCAAATGCCCTGGTCCGTGCAGTAAGAAGGGAGGTAACGAAAGGTCAGACATCTGAGAGCATCAGCCCCCTCGCTCCCTCTGGAGATACAGGGTCTTCCATGGCTCAGTGCTCCGGCCTGCCCTTCTCAGCCTGGCTGGGTCTCCTGGACTTCACCCCCTGGCCCTGGTAGATGCAGGCACCTCCTGGCCCTGTTTCCACCCCCGCACATCCCAGCTGAGGGCGCCCAGGCCACCTGCAGGCTGTGTCCCTTGCCAGCCAGCAGGGGGCACACTGGCCCGTCTTTGCCGCTGCCCTCTGCTTTCTGGGATGGAACTTCCCCTGGGAGAAGAGTCCACAGCAGGACCTTCGGGCCCTATGATGGGATCCAGAGGGGACTTGGGGGGGTGGGTACAGGCAGCCTCCTGAGCCGCACTCCTTTCTCTCCCCACTGCCAGAAGTCCAGAACAGCAAGATGCCCACCAATGGCCTGTCCAACGGCCTGCACCTTCACAGTAATGGCTTTCGGCTGCCGGAGAGTAAGGGACACGCCAGGTGAGGCCAGCCCGTGGGTCCAGCCTCCAGGTCCCAGTTACACCTTC